AAGCGTTCCCGCACCGGCAAGAACGTGGCTTCTTCCTCGGCTCCTCCACCACCGGCGCACAAGTACCTCGACGGGTCGTTCCTTTGGTTCAGCGACCACGTAGAGGCGACGCGGTTCTCGGAGAAATTTGAGCACCGGGAGATTCTCCCTCCCCGATTCTCCACCGCCCGCTTCATTCATGACTCCATTTCACGTGAGGCACGGATTATCCTCGAACGTGGAAACTTCCTCGATCTCCTCTACATCAAGAAGGTCAACTATCAACCCTTTCTTGTTCGAGCTTTCTACTCGAACTTGAAAAAGGATGAGGACGGAGCATTGATCTCTAACGTCAACGGGGTGGACATCTATTTGAATGAGGAGAACATTCAAATCCTCACCGGGCTTCGTCGGGATGGACAGGATCTCGGGCTCTACATTGGAGAAGAAGGAGCACGGTTCAACGAGACCGCTCTCTTGGAGGAAGTGGGCATCCGACACTTCGTACCCACTCCCCAACAGCGGCGCCCTACGATTGCTTCCATGAGCCCCATGTTTCGATTCATTTTTTATGTTTTGACACGGATTCTCAAGCCCAGGAAGTTCAATCACACCACTCTCTCCCAGGAGGACACAAAGACAATTCATGCGATGATTCACAACGCCAATCTCAATTGGTGTAAATTTGTGATGACTCAGATGTTCACGACCACCTCCGACAATCGGCCGCTCCCCTACGTCCTCCTTGTCATGGCGATTCTTGAAGAATATAACATCAAAACCGATGTTGGGCCAAAGATAAAGGGGACAAAGCATTGGGAGATTGACGAATCCTCTTTCCACTCGGGCACCGACGAGACTCCGTTTCGACAGCCTCGTCCACGCCGCCAACCGAGAGCCACTGCCTCAACCGCCACCACTTCGACCAATCCTTCTCTCGCCGAGCAAATGGCAGCCTTAACCGCCACTCTCTCTCGGATTGACACCAACGTCTCCAAAACGGCACACAACGTCAATACCTTGAGCCGTGAACTTCACGGGTATTTTGACTTTGTCAATTACCCGTACGCTCAAATGGTCCCTTACGTTCCTCCACCGAATTTCCGAGGTGAACAAAGTGGGACTCAAAGCGTTGGTAGAAATGACGAGGTGGACGAAGAAGAAGAAGAAGAAGAAGAAGAAGAAGAAGAGGAAGAAGAAGCCGATGATGATGATGATGATGGCAACGGTGACGAAGATGAAGAAGAAGAAGAAGACATTGACGAAGAACAACTTCTCAATGATCTTTCCCCGGATTTCTAGAGCTCTAGCTCTACTTTCTTCTCTTCCTTATTTTATCATCTTTTAATATGCTTTCGTTATGTACTATGCTATTTCCCTTAATTAATTAATAAAAATCTTTATGATTTTTGTTGTTAACAATCTTTTTGTTAATGTCAAAAGGGGGAAGATAAGGGCTATGCATATATTAAGGGGGAATTTTTTTTAAGGGGGAATTTTTTTTTCAAAAAGATCAAAACCCTATGCATATCCCCGTCTTGTTTGCCATTATCAAAAAGGGGGAAATTGTTGGAACACACTTTGTACGATAAACTAAAGTCGTGTTCATTTCTGACAGGTTTTGATAATTGCCAAACCGCCGTGGATATAAAGAGTTTCGTTGAATAACTCAAGGCGTGAAGAATGGCTTGGAACAAGACCTAAAAGACTCAAGGACAAGATCAAGAATTGAAGACTTAGTCGAGTCGGTCTTTTGTGATCAAAACCGACAATAAATTCAAGTCTCGGTTCTCAAAAAGTCAAAACAATTTTTACAAATCA